ATAAATTCCAAAAATAAGAAAATTTCTCCATAAAATTCTAACGAGATAATCTAATCACTGATGGGTATACATAACACCAGTGGGAGTGATGATTGTTGCGTATAGAATTGTTATGTCTGAATAATAAAATTGTCAAATAACTTTGTAACTTACATCTAAGAATTTGAGTTAAGAAATTAACAAAATGCCAATTATAAACTTTTTTTCGATAAATAATTAATAGAGTAGTGTATAAAATACATATAAATCACGCATAACACTGGGAGCTCGTGTCTATAAAATTTTTCTAACGAGATTATCCAATCACTGATGGATATACATAACACTACGGGGAGTAATATTGTTGCGTATAAAACGGGAAATTGTTACGTCACAGTCGTAAAATCGTCCAATAAATTCACACACCACGTGGAATTGATATAATAAAATTTCTGTTAATTTCTTTAGTAAAATTGAAAGATATTTTGAAATTTTGAAATTTGTATTATTGAAATTGATAAACTTTTTTTACTATTATGAAAAAAAAATTCTCTTATTGAAGGGGTCATTTTATAAATTTTAACTTTTTAAATGTCGAAAGTAAACATTTTATGGGATTTTCCTTAACTTGAGAGAAAAATTTTTGAGATTTTATTTTCTTAAATGTTAATATCGAATATTTTTTTTTCTGATTTTTAAAGGATGTGACCTTAAATTGATAAAGAATTTTTTAAAATTTCAGTATCCTACGTTTAAAATTGAATATTTAAAAGAATTTTCCCTAAATGTAAATAAAAACTTTTTAAATTTCAATTTATTGTAATAAAAATTCATCAACGAGTTGCTTAACTTTCTCGAACACGTTTGGTGGCGCCATCTGTTACCATATTTTATTAAAACACTTTTTATATTTTTAACTATTATAAAATGGCAAAAAGTTTAATTTTGAGGATAGGGATGGGTTTTATAAAAAAAAAAAAAAAAAGGTTTTAATTGTAATAACGAGTAAAATCGTCATTAAGTCCGACCCTACTCGAGATACACACGATCCCCTTTATTTCCCCACCCCCTCAACCTTTAATTACCAAAATTTAACAGCTTCAATCCCTCTAGTAAATAAATCTCCCTGCAAAATTTCAGAAATTTTCGACAAAATTCACAGGAGTTATTAAGCTTCAAAGAGGGTGAACAAAATCGTGCTCTCCCACACATATTAACATTCATACATACAGAAAAACCCCAAATTTTTTTGTATTTCTCGACGTATCAAGGTATCCTGAACACAGAAATGTAAAAATCTTGGGGGTCATTTTTTTGACTGATTGGCCCTCTGTTATACATAACAGCCAGGAAAGTAAAAATTAAATATTTCCCTCAAATTACAGGATATTTCCCTAAATTTAATTTCCATTTCTTATTGTCGAAATTTGAACAATTTTTTCTTATTTTTAAAGAATATTTCCCTAAATTGAAAGTAATTATTTTAATTTCAATTTCTCATTGTCGAAATTTGAATAATTTTTCCCTATATCTAAACAATATTTTCGTATAGTTAAAATTTTTCAAATTTAAATTTCTTAATATTAAAACCAGATAATTTCCCGATTTTCAAAGGATATTTCCCTAAATCAAAAGGGAAAATCATAAGCTCGTTAAACAATATAAATTGATATGTAACGAATAAGCGATTGGGCAATTTAGATGTACAAATTAACTTTTAAACTTACCGCATTTATGATAAACAAATCATTTACGTATCGAAAAGTACGTTATTTAAATCGGATTTCTATACGTCATAATAATCGTTGGCCAATCGTAAACGAGGAAAACATTTAAAAATAACAGTAAATGTTATTGATCAATCACGTGTGTTACACCCGCATCTATAGGTTATTTGTTCTTTCTTCTTTTCTGTAATGTAAACAGAAAAAATAAATAAATAAAATCTGTGAAGTGTACTGTAAGTTATACGTGAGACACGAGATTCATAAAATTCAAATGAGATTATCCAATTGCTAACTAGTATACATTACACTATTGGGAGTGATATTGTTGCGTAGGGAATAGGAATTGTTGCGTCAGACTTGTAAAATTGTTCTGGACATTTATACACTAAGTAATACAATATAAAGTTAAGAAATTAACAAAATCATTGTTGTAAAGTATATTTTCTTCAGTTGTAATTTATACCACGTTTTGTAAAATTTTTAACGAGATCCAATCAATGAAATTGATGTATAATTCTTATTATTACATAACAATTAAAAAAACTGTTCTATTTCTCTGCTCACATGCTAATTTCTTAGTTGGAAAATTAACACATTAAAACTTAATGTAATTTATTGGATTATTTTATGTAATTAATTAAGTGAAGTAAAGAAAGAACTATATAAATTCCAAAAATAAGAAAATTTCTCCATAAAATTCTAACGAGATAATCTAATCACTGATGGGTATACATAACACCAGTGGGAGTGATGATTGTTGCGTATAGAATTGTTATGTCTGAATAATAAAATTGTCAAATAACTTTGTAACTTACATCTAAGAATTTGAGTTAAGAAATTAACAAAATGCCAATTATAAACTTTTTTTCGATAAATAATTAATAGAGTAGTGTATAAAATACATATAAATCACGCATAACACTGGGAGCTCGTGTCTATAAAATTTTTCTAACGAGATTATCCAATCACTGATGGATATACATAACACTACGGGGAGTAATATTGTTGCGTATAAAACGGGAAATTGTTACGTCACAGTCGTAAAATCGTCCAATAAATTCACACACCACGTGGAATTGATATAATAAAATTTCTGTTAATTTCTTTAGTAAAATTGAAAGATATTTTGAAATTTTGAAATTTGTATTATTGAAATTGATAAACTTTTTTTACTATTATGAAAAAAAAATTCTCTTATTGAAGGGGTCATTTTATAAATTTTAACTTTTTAAATGTCGAAAGTAAACATTTTATGGGATTTTCCTTAACTTGAGAGAAAAATTTTTGAGATTTTATTTTCTTAAATGTTAATATCGAATATTTTTTTTTCTGATTTTTAAAGGATGTGACCTTAAATTGATAAAGAATTTTTTAAAATTTCAGTATCCTACGTTTAAAATTGAATATTTAAAAGAATTTTCCCTAAATGTAAATAAAAACTTTTTAAATTTCAATTTATTGTAATAAAAATTCATCAACGAGTTGCTTAACTTTCTCGAACACGTTTGGTGGCGCCATCTGTTACCATATTTTATTAAAACACTTTTTATATTTTTAACTATTATAAAATGGCAAAAAGTTTAATTTTGAGGATAGGGATGGGTTTTATAAAAAAAAAAAAAAAAAGGTTTTAATTGTAATAACGAGTAAAATCGTCATTAAGTCCGACCCTACTCGAGATACACACGATCCCCTTTATTTCCCCACCCCCTCAACCTTTAATTACCAAAATTTAACAGCTTCAATCCCTCTAGTAAATAAATCTCCCTGCAAAATTTCAGAAATTTTCGACAAAATTCACAGGAGTTATTAAGCTTCAAAGAGGGTGAACAAAATCGTGCTCTCCCACACATATTAACATTCATACATACAGAAAAACCCCAAATTTTTTTGTATTTCTCGACGTATCAAGGTATCCTGAACACAGAAATGTAAAAATCTTGGGGGTCATTTTTTTGACTGATTGGCCCTCTGTTATACATAACAGCCAGGAAAGTAAAAATTAAATATTTCCCTCAAATTACAGGATATTTCCCTAAATTTAATTTCCATTTCTTATTGTCGAAATTTGAACAATTTTTTCTTATTTTTAAAGAATATTTCCCTAAATTGAAAGGAATTATTTTAATTTCAATTTCTCATTGTCGAAATTTGAATAATTTTTCCCTATATCTAAACAATATTTTCGTATAGTTAAAATTTTTCAAATTTAAATTTCTTAATATTAAAACCAGATAATTTCCCGATTTTCAAAGGATATTTCCCTAAATCAAAAGGGAAAATCATAAGCTCGTTAAACAATATAAATTGATATGTAACGAATAAGCGATTGGGCAATTTAGATGTACGCAATTATGTTGTTAGATTTAGATAGTTAGAAAGGATAGCATTTAATTGTAATATGGTAAACCAGGATATATAACATGTGTAATTACAGAATAGAATTCGTAATTACGCCATTCGAAATCCGGATGTGAAGTGGAGGGACGGTAACCGGATGATAAAAGAGTGCAGAAGACATCAAAACAACCGCTAAAAATATACGAGAACATAAAAAATAATTCAATAAAACTCTAAAATATATATATATATAATGAATTAAAGAATAGAAAACCTCCCAACAGAATAAATCAAAATAATAAATTTGATTTCAGTAGAGAAATGATCGTGCTTCTCCTGATACGTAACAAAAGGCAAGAGAGAAAAGTAGTATGATGTCACCAGCTGCAAGTACTACCTTAGTAACAGCTGTTCCATTGCCATGCTGCTTTTCTATTTACTTTCCAGTAGTTGGGATTTGATAAGGGTTTTAAAAATATATTCATTTCCCTTAACGTTAAAGTAATTAATGACGTTTTCTATTCGTCTTTATGATGTTATGGATGATTTAATTAATGCCGTTAATTACTTTTTTAAAGATTTTTCGAGTAACTTAAAGTTTAATAATGGCACTTTTCTTGCCTTTTCTTTAAGGATCGTGTCTTTAATGCTGCCATCCTTTATGGAAGTTGGCATGTGTTTTCACAATGGATTTTCGATATAGTGAGCTCTCAAAACAATTCATTATATCAAGAATTCGCTATATAAGAGTAACGAGGCGCAACTAAATTGTTCACTATATCGGGTAGCGCTATAATAAGAGTCTATTACAGTTTAAACTGAAAAAAAAATCCCATAGAGAAATTGGATGGTTTTATTATTGTGACGTAACAATAAATGTTTCTTACGCAATAACATGACTTTCTTTATTGTTACGTGTTCGTCGACGATTGGATAATCAACTTTTTGAATCTGTATCTATGTAAATAATTAATATATTGATTTTATAATGTATTTTATAATCGATTGAACTTTCCAAATTGTTTATTCTATTTTAATGCTCTTAACTAAAGACTTTTTAGTGTGAGAAGCTCAGTAAGTAAATTAACATTAAGGATTCTAGAAGATGCAGCCAAAAGATGTTTTAGAAGTTAATACATCCTTCTTTTCACATCGTCATCACTCCCACACACACACTACATACTGTGTTTCTCATACGTAAAACTGTACTTTATATACGAATATCCGTAACTAAATTATCTAAAATTTATCTAAAGCTGTCTCGAGATTGTTTAAAGGTCCTAAATAAGTCAAATTTGTATCGAGGGTCATACTCCTCACACTACTTAATATCGGTGGAGCGTGCCAATACTTCACACCAGACCAGTTCTAAATTTTGAGAGATAACGGCTCTTCAGTTTATGAAGTATAGCAAATGTTTTTATTGGCATTTATGTGGCTAACATCAACTTGAAAATGTATAAATCATGTTTAAGCCGTAGCAGTCAATCAATATCCAGTAAACGTGCACACAGCGGCATCAATACGTTTCATCAAAATCAAATGATTAATCAATACGATGATGACATTTAGATTTTTGCAAATTACGTAAAAGAATCGATAAAAATAGTAGTGATTTTGCAAATATTTATGCTTCTACATACGTCTATGCGTGTTTGCAGGAGCCGAAATTTGGAGTAAAGCGTTACGCGAGTAACGCGTTAAAAAAACTCGCGAAAGATTCTTCTACGTAACCGGCCGAGGTAACATCGTCACGATGTACGACTAAAAATTCTATCGACTGCACTACTACTCCGTCACACGTGATTCACCTATTCAATTTACCTGTCCGCCATTCGTCGATTCCTACACGTGGGAGAGTGACGTCAGAACCGTCTTACAGCTGAGAGCTGTTCAGATGAGCAGTACATGGTCACAGGACAAGCAGCGTACCGCCAGAGACTATGTAGGACATGGCATCATATGCCGGTGACTCCGGTACGGAACGGCGTAACGTAACAATGGATAGGCTACGCGCTACTTTCCAGAGATCGAAAGTACGCGTGGTGACGCCTTGTCCAAATTTGGAGGTACCGAAACAGGTGCGTTCGGCATCCTTCGACGAGATACGCTTAAAAAATGAGGAAGAAATTTCGGGTGGTCTACTAGAGGTACCATCCAGGAACCAACGCTCGAGATCGTTCGATTCGGCCACGACACCCGAGACTACAGTGGAAACTTCCAAATGGAAGTTGTTACGTCGTATATCTAGTGATAGGAGCCCGGTACAGTGCGTACATTGTACGTGCCTGGAAGAATACGCGCTGCAACAGAATGCCACCGATATGGAAATAGTTGTAAATCAAGATACACCTGCGGAAGATAAGTGTCAAGTCATAGTAACGGTTTCTGGTGATACAACGCCTAGTCAATCACCCGAAAACGAGGTGGCCAGCACAGAAACGGTATCTTTAGAAGTGCCAAAACAAATTAGGTCTGCTTCTTTAGATTCGTCGTACCTTAGTGTACCTAAGGAAGATGATTCTGTACAGAAAACACAAAGGTCGCGTTCGGTTGATATCGTCTTACCTACCGACGATACTGCTGAAAAGTACGTAAGTAATTAAAGTTTGGTTGGTTTTTTTTATATGTCCTACACTCTCAATCTTTCCACTTTACTTTTTAAATCCCTTTTAATTATGCCAGATAAATTTTTAAAAAGTTATAAAATTCAAAACTCTAGATGCGTATCGGGAGAATTTAACTTGATATATTATTCTAATTTACGTTAAGTGATAAGAGAAATAATTAAAATGTTGATTTTAAGATAAAGATAAATGAGAAAAGAATCGACGAAAATAAATAATTATAATAAATGGAGCGAATTTTAAACAAGAAATTATTTTTTAAAAAAAATTGTAATAACGAGTAAAATCGTCATTAAGTCCGACCCTACTCGAGATACACACGATCCCCTTTATTTCCCCACCCCCTCAACCTTTAATTACCAAAATTTAACAGCTTCAATCCCTCTAGTAAATAAATCTCCCTGCAAAATTTCAGAAATTTTCGACAAAATTCACAGGAGTTATTAAGCTTCAAAGAGGGTGAACAAAATCGTGCTCTCCCACACATATTAACATTCATACATACAGAAAAACCCCAAATTTTTTTGTATTTCTCGACGTATCAAGGTATCCTGAACACAGAAATGTAAAAATCTTGGGGGTCATTTTTTTGACTGATTGGCCCTCTGTTATACATAACAGCCAGGAAAGTAAAAATTAAATATTTCCCTCAAATTACAGGATATTTCCCTAAATTTAATTTCCATTTCTTATTGTCGAAATTTGAACAATTTTTTCTTATTTTTAAAGAATATTTCCCTAAATTGAAAGTAATTATTTTAATTTCAATTTCTCATTGTCGAAATTTGAATAATTTTTCCCTATATCTAAACAATATTTTCGTATAGTTAAAATTTTTCAAATTTAAATTTCTTAATATTAAAACCAGATAATTTCCCGATTTTCAAAGGATATTTCCCTAAATCAAAAGGGAAAATCATAAGCTCGTTAAACAATATAAATTGATATGTAACGAATAAGCGATTGGGCAATTTAGATGTACGCAATTATGTTGTTAGATTTAGATAGTTAGAAAGGATAGCATTTAATTGTAATATGGTAAACCAGGATATATAACATGTGTAATTACAGAATAGAATTCGTAATTACGCCATTCGAAATCCGGATGTGAAGTGGAGGGACGGTAACCGGATGATAAAAGAGTGCAGAAGACATCAAAACAACCGCTAAAAATATACGAGAACATAAAAAATAATTCAATAAAACTCTAAAATATATATATATATNATTTATAAAAATGGAAGAATTCTATGGATACAGTTCGTTTCTTGCACGTGTTCTGTGAAATTTTCTTGCATAATTATGCTAATAAAATCCAAATAAATTATTTTTAACGAACCTTACCATCAAAATAACTCGTTGCCGTTTATTTCAACGTTATTCTAAATATAAATTTTGTAAAATTAAACCTTTGAGATGACCAGTAATGAAGTAAATGTTAGAAAAAGTTATAAATAAGCATATTGATGAGTGATACTACTCAGGACAACCATTTTCTAGACTTAATCTTCGTTTTTTTTTTCGTTTGTTTTCGAATTTCCTTTATTTTATTTTTTATCTCTACTTTAATTTCTAGTAAACATATTCTTGTATTTATACGTTTCTGTACGTTTTCATCGATTTATCGCAAAATAAAATCGATATGACGTAGTTATCTCGTAAAATACCTTTTGTTAATACGGTCTAAAGTTTTTAACTTGTTTACACGCTAACCGGATTTTTTTACTTTTTCCTTAAAGTAATTTTAAAAAATAATTTTTGTTTTTTTTAAACAATTCACGAAATAAATTTATCTTTTGCGAAAGTTTTTGTTTTTAACTTTAACAGTAAAAGTATAAATTTAACGCCTATAGTTATCAATTCTCTTTTTTATTTAAAATAAAGTATACAATTTGTTCGCCAATAATTCGAAAATTGTATTAAGTAAACAATTAATTCGTTAAATTCAAAAAATGTGTACATTTTCCGTGCGTAAAATTTTAATTATAGTTAAAAATTGAAACAGATTACTAGTTTTAAACGTAATTATTTCATGAAACTTTTATAAGTATCGTTACATCATAATATTTTTTCATAACTGTTATTTCGTCACGGTATTTAAACAATAAATATAAATTGTGACGAGATACGTGTTGTTTTTTTGTAGTGTATAATAATGTACTAAAGCTACTGATTCGTCGAATTGCTGTATTTTTATAAGGTATTCTTTTATAGGTCGTTGGCTTTATACTGCTATACGTATAAAGGTATGATCGTTACTCGTAAATTTTTTATAGCTTATAGGCCTATTTATCGCAGTTCGATAATTTTCGCTTATCTACGATTATCTTGTTAACATTACTGGATTATACACTGTATATATGTTTTTAACCTATCTCCAAAGTAATGCATGTCGTAAATTTAATTTTGATAATGTAAGTGTCACAAAATGCTAGCGCACGTGTATTTTTATCGAAATTTGAATATTGAATTTGTCGTCTACGTCATTTTATTCTTGTAAATGACATCATTTTTGGTCTTAAAATATCAATTGTTGCGTAGTAGTTGTTAAGAATATATTGTTACGTAATGATGAAACAGATTTAAATAGCGAAACAGAAAAGAAATATGAATGAAAAACAGTTGAAGCAGTTTGAATAAAAGTGGCAATAACATGAATAGCCCCTATAAACAGGCAAAGACACATGAATATAAACAGGCAAGAAGCAAAAGTAGAAAAAGTACAGTAACATGAATAAAATAAGCAATGGCACATGTTTCCTGTCACTACAAAAATTCAAACAAACAAAACTGAAAAATGTCATTTAAAATATAATTTAAACAGGACCATCCCATGTCGAAAATTCTTAGTAGAAAATAGTAACATATTGTGTGGTTATTTTTTCTTTTTTTTTTTTGAAGATCAAAGAAGACTAAATTTATAATCGAACGTATGTGGAACTATCCAGCTGTGCTACTACGATAAAATGGCGAACACTTAACCGATACACAATTAGCCTTTTCCCTGGTAGTACAATTATAGGGCTAAACTAATTTGTGGATAGCGAGGCCAAAGAAATTGCAACAATTGTAGCTGTAACACGTCTCTTTTTGCTACACTCGTTAAAAGGGATTGTAGATAAAACGTACGATTGTACTGTACATTATTGTCTTGTGTATAAATAAACAATTCACTAATGTTCAACAGTGGTTTGTTCTTTTTGCTTTACCTTAATTACTACTGATAAATTTATACGAAAATTGTCTCTTTTTAAATATTTATACGGCACTGAACTTTTTATTGCTGTAGTAGCATTTTCTTTCTTTAGTTCTTTTTCTTTTGGTAGCTTCCTCGCTGATTTATTCTGAGCGAGTGAATGTTTTTAACAGTTTAAAACTTCTTAACGTTTGTGATGACATTGGCTTTTTCACTTTTACTTTCTTTTAAGAAAGTCGTTAAAGTTACATTAATAATGCGTTTATAGTAACAATTACCTTAAGCTTTAAGAATTTAAATAATAATTCTGTTATAAATGCAGATACATCTTACGTAACATAATGTCAGTTTATTTCTTTTAACAGTTAAAAAATTACATATGTTTGAAGCTAATGTAGAAATACTACTTAATAACAACAAAAATAGCTTTACTATATTAATAAGAACGTGTGAAATATTTTCCTTTCGACAGCTGATATAGTTTATTGCGTAACAATAACGTAGATCAACCGTTTTAACAATTATTCTAAAATGAAATCGGTTAAATATACTATTGTTACGTCACAAACTACATCAGCTGTAGAAACTGAGCTTTTACCCATGTGAAAAATGTCAATTTCTCCATTATTACATAGTTTTTAAGATCAGCTGTAGAAATAGATATATTACTTTCTTAAAACGTCTATTTTTACAGCTGATCTTAGAGAAAGTGCTAATTTCTCTATTATTACGTAGATTTTAAAGATCAGCTGTAGAAATAGACATTTTAATGTATTAAAATATCAATTTCTACAGCTGATCATAATAATCACGAAATTGACATTTTTTTAGGTTGGTAAAACCTCAGTTTTTACAGTTGATTTAATTTATGACGTAATAATAGTCTATTGACTGAAGCATTGTTAAAATTGTTGATTAAAATACAGCTATAGTTTTTAACGTTATAATTAATTTATTTAAAAAACTAAAAATCGACATTTTTCTTTACATTATTAGCAACGAGTGAAATTTATTAAAATTCTAATTTAATATTATAACAGTACAATTTTTAATACTAGGAATATTATTACTCGAATCGTATTTTAAGAACGATTGCCTCTAATATCGGAATTATTATCGTAAACATACCATTCCATCTTTAATATATTATAGAATTTATTACAGTACACGTACATACGCAGGATATTTCTTTTCATATTTGTTACTGTGGTTGTAACAGTATCGTTAATATTATCGACGTGGTAGCATTACTCGGGAATTAAGTCGAATGTAAAATTCAACATTGCGTAACAATAAATGACAATTACTTTTTAGTTACGCTAATATAATTTATAGAAAAGTATAAGCATATTTTCCTTTCTATAGAAGCGTGCAGCGGGTGTATAAGTAAAATATTTAATATTATAATTAAATTATAAGATATAGTCAGTAGAAATGCCATTATTTTTTCAAGCTGTCAGAAAAGTGCAGTCCTATCTACGAACTGCCTCAAGTCTTTACATTACTTTGACAGATTTGAACGAGAAATTTCGATAATATTTTTTTATTTATTTTCTTGTTATTTTCTCCAAAGAGTTATTATAAAATTTATTTCTAGATTTATAAGATTATGACAAATTAAATATTAAATTTTATAGATTTTTTTTATAGAGTTGATTTACACGAGTAGCATTTTTTCTTTTTTAATTTTTAAAATATTAATTTAGTAATAATCACTAAAAGTATTCTATTATTGTAAAAGTACTTCTAAAGCTTTATATATAAACT